GCAACATCTATAGTATTCAAATACAGTCTAGCTGGGATTTCTGGATTAATTCTGTTTTTCAGTAAAGCAGATTTGTATTCTTCTCTGATACAAAGAGGAAAACCCCTTCTTCCACTACCTGCGAAAAGCTTCTGTGAGTGACATCTGTAAAGCAAGGTGAACAGGACAACATGAGAGATAGCTAGATGTGGCCTGTTTCCTGACACACCTCTTCAGAAACTGACCAGCTTCTGAAGGATGGATACTTTTGGAGTGTTTTACTGGTCCCTCTCAAGTCCCTGCTGCTGGACAGCAGTACTTTGGTACTCCCAACAACAGTTGGTTTAAGTATATGGTCTTCAGATGGGTGTCTCATGTAATCAGACTAATGTGGTATATAAACTCTTAAAAAAACTGGTGTTGTCAAAGCTTTCCTCTTCACACTAGCTGCCTCTCCATTATTTGAGTCAAAGCAAATACTGAAAACTTGCAGCTTCAGATGAAGATGATAGTTTTAAGAAGTGGTGTCTGCTAGGGAGTTCAGGCGTCTGAACCTTCCATCTGTTTATGCTAGCTTCTGTATTTAAAAAAAACCTGAATTCTGTTGTCATTGTCAGTCAGCTGACTGGGTTAACCGAAGTTCAAGGGTGACTTGATATGTGTTTAAAGTGTGTTTACAATTAAGGTCCATACTATCTAGTAGACTTTATTAAAGCTATCTTATGTATTGCTGAGAGCAGTAGACTCCTTTCGGCACTCTCCGTGGTCAGTAATGTCCATTTTAAGGTATTACCTGGTGCTGGGAATCCCTGTTGTGCTAGAGGTTTTCATTACTAGGGCCTTTTCTCTTGCTTGTCTCTTGGAAGTAGAAGCCTGCTAGCAATGTATTTGTTGAATGCAGTATGTGCTTTTCTGCTGGAGGACAATACAAGCAAAATGATGTCTTGTGTGTGCTCAGGGAGGTTGTAATTAAATGTTAACTGGTCAGAGGTTTCCCCCAGGAAGGTGCTACCTGAGGAAAATATTGGTTAACAAAGCCAGAATTTCCTCTAATAGTGTAACTAAGTGGTCTTGTGGTGGGAGGTTTCCCTTCTGTTAACAAAGATGATTTGGTTTTTATATGAAAGCTTGTAAATTAACAGTTAACATGAAAGACAACTATGGAAGTCAATTGGACAGGTCAAGTAGCTTGTTTTGCCCCTGCTACTGTCTTCCTTCCTCCAGGGAAATTAAGCTCTCTAGGGAAACTTTCAGGGCTTCCCCTAGTTCAATATTTTGTAACTTGCAAGAGTAAGCGCCTTTGGACCTTGCATCTCTTTTCACTCCCCCACAGCAATTTTAGCTGATACTAGAGAGGACTCACAGGGTAACACCTGACTGTAGTCAGGACCAGGTCTCCAATGGTGTATTGTGTGTGACCATCTGTAGGTATCATGCCCTCCTGCTTTCTGCTTGTTCTGTGCAGTAGCAAACATGCCAAACCATATGGCCGTATGACAAACACATCCCAGGGCTGAATCTAGTAATTATGCAGCTGGACAGAGGACTTAAGGGTAAGAAGAGGATGGTCTAACTGGCAGGTGCAGGAAGTAGAATCAGTAAAGAGTGGATGATGTTACAGTGCAGAGGTGTGAGAAGCTATACCAAAAACAAAGCTGTAGGATTTGAAGGTGGAGTGAGGCTTGACTGAGGAACTTGTAGTATATATAGTTACATATAGCAGCTAGCATGGATTGCTGTGTAAAGGGACATTGAACTTGGTAGGAGTGGGGTACTTTTGGGATTGGGGTGCAGGAATGAATACTGCATCAGTACAGGAGTGGGGGAATGTGGAGAGACAGGAAAACTTACTGTTCTTGTCTCTTTCAGACTGAGTAGGGGGTGTGGGGTGTTAGATACTGATCTTAGAGCAGAGTAGACTCTGAATATCCAAGATGCAAGGATGGAAGAATTCAACATAGGCTGGATATCTGCATTGGGAGGGAAAATGTCGTATTAACAGGGAGATGTAATACCAGGTGTATTTGACGTTACAGGAAGACTTTCACATAGGTTTATATGTAAGAATGGTGGTGCAGGATCCTCTTCTTGTTTGTTAAATGTATTTGTGAACAGTTTGACTGTGTGCACTCTTGGCTCCTCACCTGCATAGCATTCTTTAATGGGGGGAAATTGCTTACTAGAATGAAGTCTGAATTTACTGTGGCTGATTGCAGAAGCTGGCATTAACTAACTCCTGCACTGCAAAACCAACCACTGATGTATATGTGTCAGTAGCCATATTGCTTTTAGTTAACTGTTGAGGACAGAACTCTAAAGCTCTGGCCTGTTAAGTTGGGGAGTAAAGCAGCTATTTTTATGTGCATAATCTGAAATTAAGTTTATATTTTATATTAACAGCTCTCCTGCAGCTTGAATTGCCATGAGAACAAAGTTGAAGAATGTTGGAAGTAGCTTGTACTTTGTCTGTAGAAGACTGTCAGGAAATACTTGTTTGCCTTTTGCTAGCATGCAAGTATTTATTGCCTCTAATGTGTCTCAGTTCTACTAAAACATTCACTTTTTGACCAAAAAAGTGATTAATGACCTCTAAGGAGCTCTGAATTTGAAAGAACATTGCCTGAAAATTATGGGTGTGACTAGGTGCAACAAACAGATCTGAATCTCTAAGTTCTGGGTATTACTTGTGTAGTCTGTATGTGTAACATTGCTTTGGGTAGTGGTGTTACATGTGGGTTCACTTGGCAGAATAAGTAAAATAACTGTCCTGTGAGGTTGCTTTAGAAAACATGCTGTAGAATAAACCACACAACATCATTTTGATGTTAGCCATTGATTGGAAAAGACATCAAACTGGAGTGTACAAAAGTTTGTCCTTTTCAAATTCTGCAGAGGAAAGTTTGTCCCAGAAGAAAACTGAAGTCTTCCTGCCAAGACAGGAATGAGAAAATGGTTTATTTAAAAACTGTAGGAATCACATTCAAGGGATAACACTAAACAGAGCTGCCAGAGTTGAGGATTGTAGGCTAGATAAATTTCTAGCTTCTGTTTCCACAATTCAGTGAGTTGGGGTGACTGAGACTCATTGTCCTATCTAACTGAAGAGTTGTAAGACAGTGGCTGATGCTAGCACTAATGAAAGCAATTCATACTGAAGTACTTACATGATGGTACAAATCACAGAATGTTAGAGATTGGAAGGGACCTCGAAAGATCATCTAGTCCAGTCCCCCTGCTGGAGCAGGACACCTAGATCAGATCACACAGGAACGCATCCAGGCGGGCTTTGAATGTCTCCAGAGAAGGAGACTCCACAACCTCTCTGGGCAGCCTGTTCCAGTGCTCTGTCACCCTCACTGTAAAGAAGTTTTTCCTCATATTCAAGTGGAACCTCCTATGTTCCAGCTTGAACCCATTGCCCCTTGTCCTATCACTGGATGTCACAGAGAAGAGCCTGGCTCCATTCTTCTGACACTCACCCTTTACATATTTATAAACATTGATTAGGTCACCCCTCAGTCTCCTCTTTTCCAGGCTAAAGAGACCCAGCTCCCTCAGCCTTTCCTCATAAGGGAGATGCTCCATTCCCTTCATCATCTTCGTGGCTCTGTGCTGGACTCTCTCCAGCAGTTCCCTGTCCCACTTGAACTGAGGGGCCCAGAACTGGACACAATATTACAGATGCGGTCTCACCAGGGCAGAGGGGGAGGAGAACCTCTCTCGACCTACTGACCACACCCC